ATTTTTCCAGGAGATACATGAGCTAAATTCCATGGGGACACATTACTAGGGCTGTAGACTGGGTTTAACCTTCAAAAGCCACCAGTATCGTTGGAAGCTTAGGTCATGTTCATCATCAGCAACCAGAATGACATCAGCTTACATTTTTGAAAGATCTAAGGCTCCCCAGTCTGAAAAAAAGAAGGTTCCACCGGTACAGGATGGCTGTCATTGAATATTTGAAGGACTGGCATTTAGAAGAGGGATTAGTTTTATTTTCCACGGCCCCAGAAGGGAAAATGTGCATCCTATGCTCCAAGCAAACCAGCCTGCTTAATAGAGGCCTTTTGTCTATGAGACACAGATTGATATAGTAAGTAGGGCATTGGACTGTAATCAGCAGGTCCTGAGTTCAAATCCTATGCCAGACACTAACTAGCTATATAAGCCTAATCCTTCTGTGTCTCAGTTTCTTCATCTCTAAAGTGAAGGACTTGGTCTTCAGAGCTTCCAAGGTCTCTTGTTACCCTAAAACAAAATGATCTGATATATACATGAATTGCCTTCATACATACCTACACTTTATATATATATATATAACATATATATAATATACACATACAACCACAATGAACATACACACACATATACATACGTGTGTGTGTGTGTGTGTGTGTGTGTGTGTGTGTAGGTAGACAGATAGATAGAAAGATAAATATGGGCAGCGAGGTGGCACAATGAATAAAGCACTGGACCTGGAGTCAGGAAGACCTGCGTTCAAATCCAGCCTCAGACACTTCCTAGCTGTGTGATGCTTGGACAAGTCACTTCACCCTGTTTGCCTCAGTTTCCTTATCTGTCAAATGAACTGGAGAAGGAAACAGCAAAACATTTCAATATCTTTGTCAAAAAAAACCCCAAATGGGCTCATAATGAGTCAGATATGATTGAAATAATTAAACACAACAAATTTCACACACACACACAGAGACACTTATGTGTATGTAGGCAATTCATTGTAGAATATGTTGAGCATCTATTGCATACAAAGCATCGTGTGAGGGCTGAGGGAAACATAAGGAGGAATGAAACATGGCTTTGTAGTCAGGGAACTTCTAATCTAGTAGAGAAGACATGAAGTGTACCAAGATAGAAGTTGTAAAGAGGAAGGTCTACACTTTATGGAAAGAAAAACTTCCTAAAAGATGGAACTATCCCCAAATGGAAGGTTCATCCTTGGGAAGGAAGGAAGGAAAGTGTTGGTTCTCCTTAGCTTAAAATCTTCAAGAAAGGACTGGATGGCACATGTAGACAGTACTTAAAAGGATATTTTTGGTCGGGTACAAGTTGGACTATATCCCTTCCAACTCTGAGAGTCTGTGACCCTTCCTTCGAGGTCTTTGAGGAGAGGCTGGCTGCCTATTTGTGGATATATTATTGTGGGAATTCTTTGGAGGTTTGAATTGTTCTAGATGGCCACCCAGGTCCCTGCTGCCATCTCTTGAATTGTGAAATGTACAAGCTATGCGTTTGTGAATTAATAAGTCCTCAACTTCAGTCCTCTCTCCCGGTGTCTTTACAGCATGAATGAGACTCGGGGATTTTCCAGATTGTGCCAGGAGGCAACATACTAGAGCACAGGAGTGGGGAACTGGTGAATCCAAACTTCACCTTAATAAAGGATTTGCTCTGTAAAACTTGGACTCAGTCAAAAGGCTGCACCCAAGGACCTAAAAGGCCACAGGTTCCCCACCCCTGCTCTAGGAGATCCCACCAAGCCAGAAAGGCTTTGAGCATGAGCCTGGCCCAGAGGGGGTGCTATCAGCCGACGGGCAACAACCATACTAGTTCAGTTCCTCATTACTCCTCACCTGGACTAGTACAATGGTCTCCTAATTGGCCTCCCTGCCCACTTCAAACAGCTGCCAAGGTGATTCTCTCTAGAGTGCAAGAATGACCATGCCACATCCCTACTCAAGAAATCCCAGTGGGTCAGTATTACCCTTGAAATCAAATACAAACTTCTCCATCTGGCATCTTCAGCCTTTCACACAGTCTACAATCTAGTCAAACCAACCTTCTTGCTGTCCCTCACATATGTCATTTCATCTCCCATCTCTGTGACCTTGCACGTCCCTCACGCCTGGAATGCCCCCCCCCTCCTCACCCTCATCTCTTGGAACCTCTAGTTTCCTTCAAAGCTCAATTCAAGGGCCACCACCCATAGAATCCCTAGAGCTACCATTTCATCCCCCCACCCAAATGACCTTGTGCATATTTACTTTATACTTTGTAGCTTCTTATATGTCTACCTGTTGTTTCCCCTGATAGAACGTAAGCCCCCTGAGGGAGGAAGTGTTTCATTTTTGTCTTTGTATCCCAAGGGCCTCTCACCGTGCATGGCACATAGTAGGTGCTTTAAAATGTTCGTTGATCACTAGAATGTGGGCTCTCTGAAGTTGTAATTGCCTCATTTTTGCCTTTGTATCACCAAAGCCTAGCACATAGTGGGTGCTTATTAAATGTTTAATTGTTTGACCAGCTTAGCTAAGCTAGGGAGGCTCATCACCAGGTGGACCACAGAGGGATGCCTTTTTTGTTCCTAACAACTCTTGAAAAATAGTTAACAAGTTGTTAAGGGATAGCATGCACTAAAAACAAAAACAAAAACAAAAAATCCAGATGGCTCCTTGAAATACTGCCATGTAGCTGAGATATATAATAACCTCCTCTGGCCATGATGTAATGCTGGATTGGATGCTAGCCCAACTTGAACGGTACACAATGGGGGTGGTCTCATCCTATCCCAGCGTTTGGGATGAAACAAGCCTGGTGAATCTAACAGCTAATCTCTTTTCCATAATGCAGGCTTGGCCAGCACCCCAGAGTGTTTGGTGTGCTCTAGGAATATAAGAGAAAATGGAAGGATGGGGTTAGTCATGGAGAGAAAATGTCAAAACCACATTCCATTGGCAGATACCTTCTGGAGACCAAATAGGGCAATTTCAAAGACTTCCTTGAACATCTCCATCATCAGCTCCCCAAAACAGCTGGAGGTCAATTACCATAATTATCCACCTAGAATAGGAGAGGGGATAGGGGCTGGATCTGTGATTTCATTGGGATAGAGAACTCCCCAGTGAGGAAAACCTTCCACCAGTGCAGGTTGGCACCTCTTCTATGATTTACTATCTTACAGACTTGTCCAGAACAGTGAAAAGTTAAAAGATTTGTCCATATTTGTCACCATATAGCCAGGATGTGTTAGGAAGGACCTGAATGAGGTCCTCCAGGCTCCCAGGTCAGTTCTCTCTGCATGTCTCCATGGTGCCTAGAGTTTGCCTCAAATAACAGAGAGATCCTATGGGTTGGATCTCGAGGGTATTGGTCCTGAAGGCATTCCATCATCAGGGGTCATTTTCTGGCAAGTTCCTTGAAGACAGGGAGGGGGATTTTCATGGGCCTTACAGTGCTTAACTATCAGATATTAATTAAATATGTGTTAGTTAACTAATTGATTGAGATATTTGTTGCAAAGCCATAGTTCAGGAACTGGGGATATTTAGCCCAGAGAAGAAAAGCCTACAGGGGTGGAGAGGTGGCCACATGCTAGCTCTCTCTAAGTATCTGAAGAGCTGTCCTGGGGCAGAGGGATTAGAAGCCACCAGATTTAGGACTCATCTATTTCAACCCTCCCATTTTACAGAGGAAGAAACTAAGGCTGAAGAAGGGTAAATGATTGTCCAAAGGTCACACTGTTGGTGGGCAGTGGCGCTAAGTAGACTTGTGCTGTTGGCCACAGGAGGGAAGAACAAATGGAGGCTTGAAGTCAGGAAATCTTCCAAAAGTCAGAGTTGTCCCCAAGTGGAAAGGCTGCCTTTGGAGGTAGCAGGCTCCCCGTCACTGGAAGCCTTCAAGCAAAGACCATTTATTGTATTGAGGGATTGGGGTTCAGATCTGGGTTGGACAAGATGGCCACTGACATCTCTTCCACCTAAGATTTGGGGAGCCTGTCTCTTCCTAATCATAGAAGACCCTTCAGGCCAAGGCAGCTATGTGATCCAGTGGAAAGCGCTGGACTTAGGAGTTAAGAAGACCTGAACTTGAATCCTGCCTTAGACATTTAACTAGCTATGTGACCCTAGGTGGCTAACTGAATCTCTCTCAAGCTCAGTCAAGTCTACAAGCATTTATTGAGTGCCAACTGTATGCCAGTCACTGGTGTTACCAAAGACAGGTCTTGTTCTCACGGAGTTCACAATCTAATACGAGAGAGAACATGCAAAAAACTACGTACAAACAAGATGAAAGCAGGATAAATTGGAGATAATAAATGAAAGGAAGGCACTAAGACAGAGAAGGGCTAAGAAGTGGTTCTTACAGAAGGTGAGACTTTAGAGGAGATTGGAAGGATTCCAGGAAAGCCAGGAAGTGGAGATGAGGAGGGAGAGAGGTTCAGGTATTGGGGATAGCCAAGGGAAATTCTAGGGTTGGGATGGAAGCGTCCTGTGGGAGAAACAGCCATGAGGCCAGTGTGACTGGATCATAGAGTCTGAAGAATCAAGTAAGGTGTAAGAAGACTAGAAGGGAGGAAGGAGCCGGGTTGTAAAGGACTTTAAAATCCAAATAGGATTTTATATCCTGGAAATAATAGGGAGTCACAGGACGTTACTGAATGAGGTGGGGGAGTTATATATAGTCTGAGCTGCACTTTAGGAAGATCACTTTGACAGCTGAGTGAAGAATGGACTGGATGTTGTTTCCTCGCCTATAAAATGAGGATAAGACCGGCACCTACCTCCCAGGGTTATCGTGAAGATGAAATCACATAGGTAAGGCATGCTACAAACCTTCAAGTGTTACATAAATGCTCACATTTGTCATCATTGTCACCATCGTGATCATCATCATCAACATCATCATCTTCATCTTCATCATCCTCATCCTCATCATCATGGAACTTGGTGCAAATCGAATACAACCAGGGACGCAGACTGTATACGGAAGTGAGCATTACTTACATCAATCTGATTGATGATCGAGTTGTCAAACTTGAAGCCGGGGATCCTTTTATCACTGCACACTACGCCCACATCTTCTGTGTGTTTGCAGTCAGCGACACCCCACCCATTGGAGGAGCAGGCAGCCAGGGTCACTTCTTTACCGGTGCAATGGACATTGTCCATCCAAATGGGGCCTGCAGGGGAGAAGAAGGAAGCCAAAAATAATGTAAAGGAAGGTTTGGGTCCTGGGGAAAAGAGATGGTTGGTCTAGTTCCACCAGAGGTCCCTTCCATTTCTCTATGACTCTATGATCTTATCATCTTATGATCCTATTATCGTAATCATCTTATACTGACCTAGAACGAAGACCTGAACTCAGTTGCCCTACATAGAGCCCCATCCCCTCATCCCATCCTCCCATCAAACTCTTCTTATTCTATGACCTAGATATTTCCCTTCTTGTAATCCACAGGTAAAATCATCCAAGGAAAGAACTGGGCCATCCCCCCACCAAGAGGCATTGCTAGCCCTGGATCTATATCTATAACTCATTCTCAGAGCTCCAGATGACAGACTGAGGTGACTTCCTGGTATGGTGGGAAAAACACTGAATTTAGAATTAAATCAAGGTAGGGGAGATGGGTTCAAATGCCACCTCTGCTGTTTACTGTTTGTGTGATACCAAGCCCTCTCTGAGCCTCAGTTTCCCCATCTGTAAAATGACTCTAATGACACTTAAAGTCACTTCCAGCTCTAGCTCTTATGATCATCATGATAACACTTTAGTGTTTGTAAAGCATTTTACAGATATCATCTCACTTGATCCTCACAACAACCTCAAGAGGTAGGAACTATTCCATATAAGGATAGGTATTATCCCAATTTTAGGTATGAGGAAATGAGATTCAGAGTGGTCAAGACTTGCCTGAGATCACAAGCTGGTGAGCATCAGGGGCAGGGTCTGAACCCAGGTCTCTCCTGGCCCCAAGTCTAGCACTTTTCCCAGAGCTGTTATAAAAAAAAAACCTTAGGAAATTACAGGTTGGGCCACGCCTCAGTCCCCCACAACTGCCACTGGGGGAGAAGGAAGAAACAAACACTCATAACTGGTGATTAACCCTCCCCCAGATGCTCATACCTTCACATTTTACTAAAGTAAAATTGCACTGACTTTTGGAACGCTTTGTATAGCAATCAACAAGCATGTATTAAGTGCCTTCTGTGTGCCAGGTGCTGTGACAGCTGGCGATGATACAAAGACAAAAAGGAAACAGCCCCTGCCCTCAACATTACATTCTATTGGGGAGGGGTGAGGAACCAAAGTATATACATATATGTGTGTATGTACACTGTATACATGATGTATATAAGAAATGTGAAATGCACTATACCAATCAAACTACCAAAAATTACTTTATAGAGCTAGAAAAAAATAATAATAAAATTCATCTAGAAAAATAAAAGATCAAGAATACCAAGGGAATCAATGAAAAAAAATGTGAAGGAAGGTGGCTTAGCAGTATCAGATTTCAAACTGCATTACAAAGTGGTGATTATTAAAACAATCTGGTACTGGCTAAGAGTGGTGGATCAGTGGAATAGATTAGGTACACAAGACACAGTAGTAAATGACCATAGTAATCTAGTGTTTGATAAACCCAAACATCAAAACTTTTAAAACAACAACTCACCATGTGACAAAAAATTTCTGAGAAAACTGAAAAACAGTTTGGCAGAAACTAGGTATAGACCATCATTTAACATTGTATACCAAGGTAAGGTCAAAATAGGTATATGATTAAGAAACAAAAGGTAATATCACAAGCAAATTAGGGGAACATGGAAAATTTTACCTGTCGGATCTACAGATAAGGGAACAATTTATGACCAAACAAGAAATAGAGAATCATAGAAAGTAAAATGGATAATTTTGATTACATTAAATTAAAAAGGTTTTGCACAAGCAAAACTAATGCAGCCAAGATTAGAAGGAAAGCATGAAAATGGAAGGAAAATCTTAACAGCAAGTTTCTCTGATAGAGGTCTCATTTCTCAAATATATAGGAAACTGAGTCAAATTTATAAAAAAAAAATGGGTCATTCTCCAATTGATAAATGGTCAAAGGATAAGAACAGGTGGTTTTCAGAAGAAGAAATCAAAGTTGTCAGTAGCCATATGAAAAAATGTTCTACTCACTAGCTGTGTGGCTCTGGACAAGTCACCTAACCCCAATTGCCTCTCTCTCTCTCTCTCTGTCTCTGTCTCTCTCTCTCTCTCTCTCTCTCTCTCTCTCTCTCTCTCTCTCTCACACACACACACACACACACACACAAATAAGCAAATAAACAAAAAAATGTTCTAAATCACTATTGATTAGAAAAATGCAAATTAGAACAACTCTGAGGTACCATGTCTCATTTTTCAGATTGACTAACATGACAAACAAGGAAAATGATAAATGCTGGAGAAGATGTAAAAAAAATTGGGATACTAATGCACTCTTTGTAGAGTGTGAACTAGGCCCATCATTCTGGAGAAGAATTTGGAACTATCCCCAAAGAGCTATAAAACCGTGCCTACCCTTTGACCCAGCAACACCATTAATAGGTCTGCATCCCAAAGAGATCAGAGAAAAGAGAAAAGGACCTATTTACATAAAAATATTCATAGAAGATCTTTTTGTGGTGGCAAAGAAATTGAGGGGATCCCCACCATTTAGAGAATGGTTGAAAAAGTTCTGGTATATGATTTTAATGGAATGCTATTGTGCTGTAAGAAATGATAAGAGGGATAGTTTCAGAAAAAACCTGGGAAGATTTGTATGAACTGATGCAAAGGGAAGTGAGTAGAACCAGGAGAACATTTGTACACAATAGCAGGAATATTGTATGATGATCAGCTGTGGATGACAGCAATACAAAGATTCTCTATCTATTCTCAGCAATACAAAGATTCCCTCACAAGTTGTGGTTGTTGTTTGCCCTTCATTCTTGAAGAGGACCATGGAAGATGACACCATGACTTGCAAATGAATTAGTTTTAAGTGAGGGAAAGCTGTGCAAAGTCAACAGTCACACTTTTGAAGGACTTTTTATGAAAAGTGCTATCCACCTCCAGAGAGAGAACTGATGGAGTCTGCATGCAGATTGAAGCATAATTTTTTTTCACTTTCTTTTTCTTGCTTTTTTGGCAACATGGCTAATATGGAAATATGTTTTGCATGATTTTCCATGTATAATTGATATCACATTTCTTGTCTTCTCAATGGGTAGGGGAGAATTGGGAGGAAGAAAATTCTGAATTCAAAAAAAATGTAGTGGATGTTAAAAAATAATAAATGAAAAATGAATACATGATTCTGGGCTTAGAATGGAAGTTCCTTGAAGACAGGATTGTTTTCATTTTCATCTCTGTAACCTCAGCACCTGGGACAGCACCTGGAAAATGTAGGTCCTTAAATCAATGCTCCCTGAATGAAGGATTAATAGGCATCTATAACAACTCTGCTTTAGGCTCAGTGTCCTGCTTACTTAATTCCATGTCAAAACTGATTCTCAAACTCAGATCTTTGGACTCCAGGCCAGAGCTTGTCTCCAGCTGTCTCTGAATCCTGCAGAGATGCTGAGACTCTTGTTTCTACAGACATTTGTTCCCCATTTGGCCTTTAATGGGAGATGGTAACAGCCAGCTGACATCTCTTCCCTTTCAGAGATCACTGAAATGCTCATTTTAACCATATTCCCTCCCATGCAAATGTTGAAGAAGAAACATCCAGAACTTGACCTCCTCCTTATCCCATTTCCCTACACATGTGTTCGTGGTGCACAGAAGTCTGGGCCCCGAAGTACAGACCTCTTCCATCTGTGGTCACCTCTGGGTATCCTTTCTTCCTAAAGCTCAGCAGAGGTAAATAGTCAGGTATTTTCCAGCCTATAAACAAGTGCACACTTATAGATGCTAAGAATCACAGATCTAGAGGTGGAAGTAACCTCTGAGTTCATCTTGTCCAACTGTCTCCCCATTTTACAGATGAGAAAACTGAGCATATGGAAGTTAAGTGACTGGCCCAAGGCTATGCAGGTAGTAAATGCCAGAGCCCAGATTTCAACCCAGATCCTCTGACTCTGAGCCCAGTTCTCTTCAAGTACTGTGCAATCTGCCTCTCACATAGCACGGCCTGTCGACTTTACCTCTGCAGCATCTGTCCAATATGCCCCCTCCTCTCCTCTGACACTGACACTGCCCTGGTTCAGCTCCTCATCACCTCACTCCTGGATGATGCTCAGGGTCACACAGCTAGTAAGTGTCTGAGGTCGTATTTGAACTCAGGATTTCCTGACTATTCGAATGGGCACTGGTGCTGGACTTGGCAAACCCTGGGTTCCAATACTATCTCTCAGGATTATTGTTTGTATGACCCAGAGCAAGTTACTTGACCACCCTGGGCTACAGTTTCCTCCTCTATAAAATGAGGGGTTGCATTAGATGGCCTTTAATATCCCTTCTAACTCTATATCTGTGACCCAAGCAAGCTATGTAAGGGGCTGCAATTCTTTTGACATCTCAAAGGGAGTTTTTATGCTTGCAAGAATTGGGAACCACTGATATAAAGGCATTTTACTCCAACCCCTTCTACTAAAAAATGTAAAAGCTCAGCTCTATTGCCTTTCTCCAATCAACTCCAGGAGACAACAAGGGAGACAGAAATCCCACTGTGCTCTGTGCTGGCAGCTCATATCTGGAGTACTGCATTAAGTGCTTGGAACCACATTTTAGGAAGAATATTGATAAATCGGAGGGCAAGCAAGGGTGATGAGAAGCCTGGAGACCCCATGGAACCAGAATCCATGAAAGGAAATGGGGACGCTAAGCTTGGAAAAGAGAACTGCTGGGAGCAAGACGGTTAGCTGCCTCCAACTATTCACAGGGCTGACTAATAGGGGGAGAGGGGTCAGACTTGTTTCTTGACCCTGGAGGGAAGAATGTTGGCTTGTTGTGAAATGAGCAGAAGCCTCGCCTCACGGAGGCAGACTTTGGCTCCATAGAAGAAAGACCTTTCTCAGAATAAGAGCTGTCCAGCAATAGAACAGGCTGATCTAGCAGGACAGAGTTGACACGGCTGGAGGTCTTCAAGTAGGGGCTGCATAACCACTTGTCCAGCGTGTTTTAGCAGGTCGGGTCTGGGCTAGGTGACGTCACCCTCAGGTTTCCTCCCTTGCAAAAATGATAAGGATGGAAGTGAAGAGCTCTCTTTCTAATCTGTGAATATCTTTGTGGGATCGCGCTTGCTCCAATCCCAGAGGGTTTGGAAAGTACAGGGCAAAACATCCATTGTTTAAAATTAAGGGCTGTGATAGAATCAGTAGGATGTAAGCCCCTCAAAGGCAGGGATTATTCAATTTCTTGGTTTTGTATTCCCAGCACCTGGCCCCAGCTCCTGGAATGGAGTAGGTACTTAATAATTGCTGGTTGGTTGACTGCAGAGGAGCAACACAGGCTGGAAGTCAGACCATTCCTCTGCCCCCAGGCCATTAGCTCTCCAAGCCCGGATCCTTCTGAAACATGTCCGTCCATGATGGATGGCTTGGTCAGTTCTCAACACAAGCGAGGTTGGTCCTTAAACATAAGGAACAAAGACCTTATTGAAAACCTGGGGTTGAAACTTCCCAGCTGGTTTCCCCATTCTGTCTGGTTCATGAGGGAGGCTCTTTGAAACACTCTTCTCTAACCCACAGCTGTTTCCACAGCAAACTGCTGTTTGGTAGCAACACAATTTCCATTTGGGACCCTCAGTGGGCAAAGAAGAAGAAGGATTTAGGAGCACTGACTTAGAACTGGAAGGGGCCTCAGAGGGAAGTTAGGCCCACCTTCTGCTGTTTAAGAAGAAGAAACTAAGGCCAAGAGATAGGAAATGATTTGCCTGAGATTAAACAGGTAAGTGTTAGAGTTGGGATTGGAACTCAAATCCCTTGTCTCTTTTTTATACCATGGCAGCCTCTGAGAGGCAGTAAGCAAATCTGTCAGTTAGTATTTAAGTACTTGCTGTGCACAGGCTGTCATCATGGATAGACAGCTGGTTTCATAGCCAAGAAGTCTTAGGTCCAAGTTGTGCTCCTGATACAAAATGATTATGTGACTTAGGGCAACCATGAAAATACTCAGTTATTCTCTAAGACTAAACCGCAGAGGTGTTAGCTTGCTTTGGTAGAGTGATTTTCCTCATCTGGGAGTTCCCTGCACTACTGAAATCACAGGTCCAGTCTCTATCCATAACTTCTAACCAAGCCTAGTAACCCCTTTCTGCTTGGTGCCACCTCTTAACAGAAAGGCAAAGGATCATTGCCTTCCTACAATCCCCTACAAACTCCCCATGGAGAAAACATAGAATGAGCCACTTGGGGTGACAGAGAAGGTAGGAAGAAGGGAGAAAGGAGTTTCTTTTCCATACACAAAGCTAATTGGATGGGTGGGTAGGGATCTCAGTCTGAAATATATATGGCTTTAGAGGGATCTGGGTTCAAATCCCTATTCAGACACCAACGAGCTGGGTGACCCTGGGCAAGTCACTTATCCTCGCAGGGTTATTTCCCAGCTCTGATATTTTATGTTCTAAGGTCCCTCGCAGCTCTGATAATCAACACTATATATCCAATAAATGCCTTTCATTCATCCATCCATCTATTCATCCATCTATTCATGAATTCATTTTATGTATTAAGGGTCTAAATCCTACAATCCTTAACAAGATGAACAGTACCCGGGTTCTTAGTTCCTAGGTCCAACCTCACACCAACAAACCAGGCCACCGGGGCACTGGGTTTTACCTTCTCCTTTGCCATAGGAGGAGCTGGGTGCCCAAGATACGGCTTCCACATAACCCAGCTCACGACAGACCACATGTGCAGCGTGGATGGAGAAGTCATCATCACACACTGTGCCCCACACCCCATCGTAGTACAATTCCACTCGGCCCTCATTGTGTTTCCTCTTCTGTCCAGCCAGACGCAGTTGGATCTTGGGGACATTTGCTGGACGCTCAGGCTGTTGGTACTCAGGCTGGGGCTGTTGAAAGTACTCAGGGTAGTAGGGCCAGTTCTCATACTGAGCAAGGCTCAGGGAGGGGAGGATGAGCAGCACAGCCAGATAGCGGTGACAACAAGTACCCAGGGACCTCTCCATTCTTGGCTTCCTGCTGGGCACTCTGATGGAAGGACTTCCTCAAGCAGGTGCTAGGGGGTGTTCAGTGCAAGTGGAATAGAGCCGAAGTTTTCTGTAAGAAAGGAGACATGCATAAGCATCCAGGACAAGAGACTCTTAATCAGAGTAAGGCACCAAACTTAAACAAATTTAACCCAAGAACTTCTCCAGTAGAGTCAGGAGGGGAGAAGGAGGTAAATGGTGCTTGTGTTTCAGGTGATGATATGTTGGGAGGGTGGGTTCTTTTCTGAGCTGCCCCACCAGATTTCCCCCAGAGATGGGGATGGAGCTGAGGAGGTACAGTTGGTGCTATAAGCAGGAGCACTCATGGAATCATAGCATTTCTGAGCTGGAAGAGACCTCAGAGCCCATTTGGTCCTACCCATACCTGGAAAAGGGTCTTCTCTGCAACATACCCAACCTGTGATCCTGTAGCTTCTCTGCCTGAGGACCTCCAGTGAGCTGGAAGCCTGCCCCATCCACCTCTCCAAGCAGCCCATTGCACCCTCGGCAAGCTCTCACTGTTGGCAAGTTTTCCCTGAGCCCCACTGGGCCTGGTGCTGCCCTCGGTTCTGCCAAACAGAGCCAGTAAAGCTCTCCTCTACATAATGGCCCTTCAAGCACTGGAAGGCTGCACTTGTGTGGAGGCTTCGTGGCGCCATTATGGCTTTGGTATCAGAAGACCTTCGTTCACATCCCACCTCTGACTCTTACTAGGTATGTGACCTTGGACAAATCACTTACCCTACCCATTTTCTCATCTGTAAAACAAGATGGCTTCTGACTTTCCCTTCCAACTCTAACTTGTGGTCCCATGGTCCAATATCTTGTGCTAAGTCTTCTCCTCTCCTGGATAAATGTCCCCATTTCTTCCAACCAATCCTCTTATGGCATGAACTTGAAGCCTTTTGTCACCCTTGTCACCCTCTTCTGGTCACTATCCAACTTATCCAAGTCCTTCATAACATGGGGTGCCCAGAATGGAACACAATCCTCCAAATAGGGCCTGGCCCAGGTAGACTCCAGAGGAGGTAGCAAACACCTGATTCATTATTCCTAGAAGCTCTGCCCCTCCTAATGCAGCCCAAGATTGGACTCACTTTCTTAGCTGCCAGATCACACTGCTGACTCATGAAGTTTGTGGTCCACTAAACCCCCCCAGGATCTTTTTCATATCTCTTTGTCCCATTTTGTACATGTTGAAATTGAATCCAGCTACAAGCCTTAACATTTTTTCAAACTCGAATAGGTTTGTGATCTCAATAACATGGGTACTCCCCCTACAGCGCAGACTGAACCTGAACCATGCTGTGCCTATAAACCATGCTCTTGTCCATGGGCTCTCATGGCCTCACTGCAGGAAGTGGGAGGAGTGGGGAAGGGAACAAGTATCTCCCATGTGCCAGGCATTGTACTAAATGCTTTATAAATAGCTCACATGATTCTCACAACAACCCTTCGAGGTAAGTGCTATTATGATCCCCATTTCAGATGAGGAAACTCAGGGAAAGAGAGGTTGAGTAACTTGCCCAGGGTCACACAGCTAGTAAGTGTCTAAGGTCACATTTGAACCCAGATCTTCCTGATTCCAAGACTCTATCCACTGTGACACCTAGCTGCCTGCACCCAGTGGGCTGGGTGGGGAGGGTTGGGCTTCCTGGATTTCTTGTGGCTTCTTGGGAAGACCAGTGGAACACACGGACCATCTGATAGTGACCCTTCACTCTCATCACCTTTTTTGCACAACTATTTCTTTGATGAAAGCCAGAGGGGCAAGTGGGACAAGGAAGGTTGAAATTCCAGCTTCCTGATTCACCAGGCAAGGCATGGACAGAGCCAGGGCAGGGCATCCCAGCTGCTGGAGAGAAGCAGATCAGGAATAAATGAGGGAGGAGGAAAAGGGCACTCGTTCTTTGCCATTTGTGTTCATAAAAATAAATGGGAAGAGACATGGTCATCTGTTCCCCCACAGAAAGAGACATTCAAAAACCCTGGGCCAAGACGACAGGCTGGTTCAGGGCAGGAGCAGGGACCTTGTCCGTGGTACGTGTCTGCTCCTTTGCCATGATGGCTCCCTGACCCTCTGCTTGCTCTCAGAACCAGACACATGGTCTGGGATGCATTTTCACTGTCTGCTCCACAAACTTTCCAAACTTAAAACTAACAATATGAGGACAGCAGCTTGACTCATTGCTACTTGGTGATCCACATTCTCCTTCATCCAGATAATGTCATTGAGCTCAACTAATATTTATGAAGCACTCACTACGTCCCAGGCACTGTGCCTGGAGACAGGGGATTTAAAGATGAGGCAGGCAGTGAAGTATGATGGAGAGCACACTGATTCTGGAGTCAGAAGACGGGTTCAGATTCTGCCTCTGACTCTTATCAGCTGTATGACCTTAGGTAAGCAAACAGACCTCCCCATGCCTCAGTTTTCTTAGAGGAAAAATGAGAGTTGTTAGACTATCCAGCTTTTAACTCTAGATGAAAGGCTCTTAACCTGGGGTCCATGAATAGACTTCAAGGGACCCATGAACTTGGATGGGGAAAGAAGTGCACATTTATTTCCAATAAAAAACTGATCTCCTCTGCAATTCTATTTTTTCCTCCTTTTAAAAATCACTATTCTGAGAAGTCCAAAGACTTCGCTAGCCTGCTAAGGGGTCCATTATGGAAAAAAAAGGTTAAAAATGCATGCTTTAAATCTATAAAAGACAAAAGAATGAAACAGGTTCTGTTCCCAAGAGGTTTACGTTCTAGTGGGAGATACAATGTGAATACCGATAATTAGATACAAAGTTATACAAAGTGATTCAAGAGGGAAATAACTGAAGGAATCAGGAACTGCTGGAGGTGCTATTTGTGCTTTGAAGAGACTACACCTCGTAAGAGGTGCAGGTGAATAAGGACGTATTCTAGATGTGAGGTATTCAAAGGCACCAAGGCTAGAGATGGAATTTTGTGCTTGACTAGAATAGAGAGTGTGTGAAGAGGATAATACGAAATTAAAAAAGGGAAGTACATTGCGATGACCTTAAATTCCAGGCTGAAGAATTTGTTTTCTATCCTAAAGACAATAGGGAGATTTTTGAGAAAGGGAAAAACATGTCAAGATTTGTATTTTGGGAATATCCACTTGATGGATATAACTCCATCAATTACTATAACACTTTACATCTACACAGTGCATTACTTATACCTAACATGCCATGGACAGCCCTGTGAGGTCAGCATGATTTCCAGTTTACAGCCCAGGAAAGCAAAGTGATTTGTCTGAGCTCTGTACCCAGATGGCATGGGTCAGAGCCAAAGCTGAGAATCCAGGTCTCCTAACTCCCAGACCGGTGGGTGGGCCTGGGTCTTATCTCATGTCTCTCAGTACCAGATACAATGCTTTGCATACAGCAGGCACTTAATAAAGGAGCACCAGATCAGGAGTCAGGACATCTAGGTGATACAGTGAATAGAGCTCAGGACCTAGAGTCAGGAAGACTCATCTTTCTGAGTTCAAATCCAGCCTCAGACACTTACTAGCTGTGTGACCCTGGGCAAGTCACTTCACCTCAGTTTCCCCATCTGTAAAATGAACTGGAGAAGGAAATGGCAAACCACTCCAAGTATCTTGGCCAAGAAAACTCCAAATGGGGTCACAAATAGTCAGGCATAACTGAAATGACCGGACAACCACAAATCTGTAGTCACAGGGTTTGAGTTTGAAACTAGGCTGTACCACTCCTTTCCCTGGGTCAGAATATTCTCATTTATAAAATGAAGGAGTGGTATGAGGTGGCTGCTGAGGCCACCCTCAGCTCCAGGTCTGATTTAATATAGCGTTTGGCTTACATTATCTCACCAGAGCCTTACAAAAATCCTGTGATGAAGGCACTGTAGGTATGGTTATTCCCATTTTACAGATGAAGAGACTAATGATTCTCATATCTACTGATCAAGCCTTGACCTCTCTGCTGTTGCCCATATCTCCAGGTACCTATTAAATATTTCAAACTGGACGTCCCATAGACCGTAAGGTCAACATGTTCAAAACTGAACTCAGCATCTTTCACCTGGGACTTCCCATGTTCCAAGCTGCCTTCTTACCATTGAGGGCACCGCCATCTTCCCAGGCCTTCTGGCTTACAGCCTAGGTGTCATCCTCTGCTCTCACCCTCCATCTTCAGTCTGTGCCAAGGCCTATGAATTTTACCTCTGTCACATGTCTTGCATATGGCCCCTTCTGTCCCTGGCACTGTCACCCCCCTGGCACAGGCCCTCATCACCTCAAGCCTGGGCAAGGGTAATAGCCTCTGGTTAGTCCTCTGCCACAAGTCTCTCCTCCTTCCAATCCATCCTCCACTCAATTGCCAAAGTTATCTTCCTAAAGCAGAGGTCTTACCATATCACCTCCCTCCTCAATAAACTCCAGTAGCTCCCTATGACCCCCAGGATCAAATAGAAAATGCCCCATTTAGCGTTCAAAGTCCTTCATAACTTAGTCCCCCACCCTAACACCATTAGAGTCTTCTTACACAAGCCCCCACCCTCCACACACACACACACACACACACACACACACACACACACACACACACACTGCAATCCAGTGGTAACTGGTCTCCTTGCTGGCCCTTGTACTCAATAAGTCTATCTCCCACCTGTACATATTTCCACTGGCTGTCCCACATGCCTGGAATGCTCTCTTTTCTCATCTCTGCCTCCTATCTTCCCTGGCTTCCTTCAAGTCCCAAATAAAATCCCATCTTCAACAGGAAGCTTTTCCTGATCCTTCTTAATTCTGGTGCCATCCCTCTGCTGATCATTCCCCTTTTATCTTCATACACAGTTGTTTGCATATTGTCCCCCCTATTAGATTGAGCTCTTTGAGAGAAGAGACTGTCTTTTGCCTTTATATCTCCATCACTTAACACAGGGTCTAGTGCATAGTAGGTGCTTAATAAATGTTTATTGGCTGAGACTGAGGCCCAGAAAGGCTGAATGACCTGCCTATTTTCACCAGTGTCAAAGGGAGAATTTGAATCTGAGCCTTCCTGATTCTGTGTCCAATACTTAAAC